TTGTATATTGAACTACCCTTACATCCCTGGAATAAAACTCCCCTTTCAGTAAGTGTTGGAGTCTGTTTGCTAGCATTTGTTGAGGATTTTTGCATCTATGTTCAGCAGAGTTATTGGCTTACAGTGTATTTTTGTTTGTTTGTTTTTATTTTTAGGTGGTCATTGTCTGGCTTTAGTATCATGATGATGCCGACCTTTTAGAACAAGTCTGGAAATCTTTCCTCCTCTTCAAGTTTTGTAAGAATGTACGAAAAATTGGCATTAATTCTTCTTCCAGTGTTTGGTAGAATTTGAATTTGTTTAGCCATCTTGTCCAGAGCCTTCTTTTGTTGGAAGTTGTTTGATTACTGAATCAATGTCCATAACAGTTATAGTTGACTTTATATTTTCTCATGGTGTAGACTTGGTAGGTTGTATGTTTCTAGGTTATTCAGTGTGTTGCCACATAATTATTTGTAATTTTCTTTTCTGATCATTTTTATTTCTGTGGTATCATTTGAATATCTCTTTTATTTCTGATATTTTCAATTCTTCTTTAAATCATATATCAAAAGTCTTGCCCATTTTGCTTACTTTGACTTTTTCTACTTTTTTTTTTATTCTCTCTTCCTTTGTTTTACCCAAACCTTACTTTTAATTCTTTCTGCTAACATTGGGTTTAGTTTTTGTTTTTGTTTTTCCCTTTCTCTTTGAGATATAAAGTTAGGTTACCTATATAAGATCATTCTTCGTTTTTAATGAGGGTATTTATTAAAAGTTTTTGCAGTATTTATAAGTTTTATTGTGCTGATTTATTTCTGTTTCTTTCAAGATGTTTTCTAATTTTCTTTTTGATTTATTTTTTGACTCAATGATATCTTAACTGTGTTGTGTAATTTCCAAGTATTTGTGAATTATCTGGTTTTGTTCCATTTGATTTGTTGTTTCACCCTATTGTGGTTGGTGAAGAAACTTGGTATGATTTCAGTCTTCTTGGATTTGTTAACACTTTTTATAATGTGGTCTATTAGGAGAAAGTTCTGCTGCACTTGAGAAGACTATGTATGATGCTGTTATTGATGTGAATATTCTTTATATGTCTGTCAGGTCCATTGGATCTATACTGTTGTTCAAGCCCAATGTTTCCATATTGATCTTCTATTTGATTCTTCTAACAATTATTGATTGTTGGATATTAAAGTTTTCTACTACTGAATATGATTCTCTTTCTCCCTTCAATTACATCAACCTTTCCATTTTATATTTAGGTGTTCTGATATTAATTATGTCTATAATTATAGTTGTTATGACTTTCTGGTGGATTAATACTTTTACTAATAAATTATGGCTTATTTGTCTTTTTTGATAGTTTTTACCTATTATCTATTTATATATATATATATACATATATATGTATATATATATAAAACTACCCCAGCTCTCTTTTGCTTACAACTTTTCATGAAATATCCTTTTCCATTTCTTCAGTTTCACCCTATGTGTCCTCAAATCTAAAGTGAGTTTCCTATACATTGCCCAAATATTTTTTATAAACATGCTCAATGAATATGAGAAAATATAGTTCTAAAGCCACTAGAATTTTTCTTAGTTAAAGCAGGGACAGAGAAATGTTAACATTCACTAGTATTTTACTAGGCATACTTAAAATAAAATTCATTAAAGAAAAGAAGTAAAATTATAACATGTTATATGCATGTACAATATGCCACAATGAAACCTGTTATTTCTGCATAAGTAACATACATTGATAAAAAATTAAAATTCACAATCATACCTTAAAAAGAAGAAAAATAAACTGTCTGAAACTAATTGTGAATCAAGACAAAAAATCTCAGTAAGTAAACTTAGTAAGATAGTAGGATGTACAATTAATCTATAGAATGCAATAGCATTCCACATATATAAGGAGTAACCTGTGGGAGGCTATATTTAGAGAAAATATTATGTTAGCAATAAAACAAATGAAATACTTAGCAATGACCTTATCAAAAAAAATACAAGGTATATATGAAAATATTTAAACAGTATTACAGAATTTAAAAAAAAAATCTGAATAAATGGAAGGAACAAATCATGCTGTTGGAGACTTTAATCTTCAAAATCATGGAAATATATGTTTTATAAAGTTCATGTAAAATTTTAAGATAATATAAACATATGAATAAGTTGTTAGCATTAGAAAAACTACCTTGAAAAGTGATAAAAAATGAATAAACAACAATAGATGAGGGAAAAATCCAGAAAAAACAATCAATATTCAACTAGCTTGATCTATATTAAAATATATTTAAAATAATTACATTTACATATTTAAATACATTATATAGTCACATTCTGGGAACATCTTTAAAAATAGCTTGGAACAAAGAAACAGCATTTAAAAATCCAGAATTAGATACAAAAGAAATTGGAATTTAGTGTTTTGTAAAAGATAATATTTAACACATAAAAAAAGTGGTGAAGTTAAATGGATAACTCAATAAATAATCCTAGGATAACTGAACAGCCCATTTGGATCTACACTTTACACTAAGTTTTAGACAATTTTTTGTCACTGTGACTAAATGCTTGAGAACAACTTAAAAAATGAAAGGTTTATTTTGGCTCATGTTTCAGTAGTTATAGTTCATGGTTGGCCAGATCCATTGCTTTTGGCCTGAGGCAAAGAATGTCATGGTGGAAGGCTGTGGTGGAGAAGAGTTGCTTACCTAATGGCAGTCTCGAAGAAGGGAGAGAGAGAAGGTACCAAGGCCCTCAGGGACCTACTTCCTTTAATGGGTCTCCTCTTTCTAAACATTCATTCAGGTACGAACTCATCAATAAATTAGTCTATTGATGAGTTTAACACTTTTATGATCCAATCATTTTCCCAAAGCCATACCTCTGAACATTGCTGCATTCAGGACTGTCTTGAAACTCTGAGCCTTTGGAGGATACTTCTGGGTAGGTTCCACAGTCTAGCTATTGTGAATTGTGCTGCTATGAACATCCATGTGGCAGTATCCCTGTAGTATGCTCTTTTAAGGTCTTTGTGGAATAGTCCGAGAAAGGGAATAGCTGGGTCAAATGGTGGTTCCATTCCCAGCTTTCCAAGGAATCTCCATACTGCTTTCCAAATTGGCCACACCAATTTGCAGTCCCACCAGCAATGTACAAGAGTACCCTTTTCCCCACATCCTCTCCAGCACTTGTTGTTGTTTGACTTCATAATGGCTGCCAATCTTACTGGAATGAGATGGTATCTTAGGATGGTTTTGATTTGCATTTGACTGCTAGAGATGGTGAGCATTTTTTCATATACTTGTTGATTGATTGTATGTCCTCCTCTGAGAAGTGTCTGTTCAGGTCCTTGGCCCATTTGTTTATTGGGTTATTTGTTATCTTATTGTCTAATTTTTTGAGTTCTTTGTATACTCTGGATATTAGGGCTCTATCTGAAGTGTGAGGAGTAAAAATTTGTTCCCATGATGTAGGCTCCCTATTTACCTCTCTTGGCTTTCATGTTATGTCTTTAGAATATAGAATTCTAAAGCATTTCTCATAAAAATGCTTGACAGAGAGAATATGCTACACTTTTTGTTATAGGAAAAAGAGGAGGGGATCCCACAAAAAAAGAAAAATCATATAATACATCAGACTCTTCAAGCACAATACGAAATTGTGGTGATAATTATAAAGGGTAAATGAATTTTTACCAAGAATTTTATATTCATACAGATTACTTCTCACTTTTGGAGGCAAAAACAATATATTTGGTTTTAAAAGTAGATGATGTTTTGGTTAAGTGAAAAATGAATATAAATAAGTACTTAAAGTATATTTTCAGAAGCAGGAATGAAATGCATAAATCCAAATTTATAGATACATGATCACCAACTATTTAAACCAACTAAGTTTATTCACTGGAGTCAAATTTCCTTTAGTTCAGGCAAAAAAAAAAAAAACTCAAATGATAAGATGACACAAAGACAAAGACAATCAAATGTAATATCTGAGACATGCACAAGATATAGCTGATATAATCAATAAAAAGAAACCAAGAACGGCAATGTTGAGATCAAAGTATGATCTAACAACTCTCGATAATAATCTACCAGGAACATACTGCTTTGCAGACAATCAAAACATAAAAAATGAATTGTTAAAAATACAAAGAAATCTGATTTGATTGTGCTCTTAATAGGAAAAAAATGAACAACAAAACATACTCTTAAGAGTGACTTGGTTTAAATAACAAATTTAAAAAATCTTTGTCTTGATTAAAACTTTACTGAAAGATCTAAAAAACATGTAGCTTCAGTTATATATCAACAGAGTGATTCCTCATCTACATTTAAATCTGTCAAAAAGTGTCAGTCTAGGAAAGATCTAAGTGTGGTAACTGGTAACAAGAATCCTAAGAATGTGAAGTCAATCTACCATTGAAGAAATGGCAAATAAATTTGAAAATTATCCCCTTTAATCTTTTCTAAGTCTGTGGCTTTATGAAGTCATTAGAAGTAAATTTTTAAAAATTTTAAGGGGTTTAAACATTAAAAAAATTATCCTCATACCTATCACTTATTGAATGTTCACTGTATTTAAGACTCTAAGTTAAATACATTAAATATATATTGAACACATGTACATACATGCACATAAACACACATGTAAAATGAATATAGTCTTAAAATTTGGAATGCTGAATGATATCATTCTTGTTTTTATTCTGATAGACTTCCACATAAGAATTACTTTCATATTGATCTGAATTACATAATAACTGTTTTAAACATTAAGAAACAATTTCTGAAAAGGCAATAATAACTTGCTCAAAGTAACTTGATCAGTATAGAATATTTAGGAGGTAATGGAGCCATGAATTGAAGAACAAACTGAGTTCAAAATAACATGAAAGTAATTGAGTTCAATAATGTGATACACAATTGTCTACAATTTCTGTGACTTTGATTTCAAAGTATTTAATATTGTTTCAAAGTATTTAATAGTGTTTCACTTACCTTACAGTAAAACGTAGGAATCTTTTCTTCATGGACTCCTGTTTTTTACAAAAGTATTTCTTTTTATCCTGTTTGACCACTCGTTTCTCTGAAGGGAGAACATGGGCATCCAGAGAGGGAAATAACAGTTTGGAAAGTGTGTTGGCAATTCTCCATCCAATATATTTGGAGAAAACTTCTTCCTCTACATTCAACGAAATTTTTGTACTATATCTAGTGAAGGGATTGACTGGATTATTTAATTCAGCCTATGAAAAGAAAAGAAAAAAGGAATCAGTTGAAAGGAAAAATGATCTTATCATTAAATAATAGATTAAATGCATGTTCATTCTATTTTACTAATATTTCATTCTTTTGTTAAGTAAAAATAACCTTTTAAGGAAAGAACATAGTTTCTGTAGAGACCATGATAATAATTCTCAAAAAAAAATGAACACTTAAGCATTTGTGAATCCAGCCTTGAAATTTTGAAAATGATAAAAGTTTATATTTTAAATTTCATACACCTTTCACACAAGAATTTAGTAAAATGTATTTAAAAATAAATTAAGTAATTTGTTGAAATAATACATTATTTATTTTAAAAGACTACTATTTTTCTGTGCAAAGTCTTCATTTTCATTTAATTGAACAAAATATTTCTATGGGATAAAAATTTTAAGTTCGAAATAAGGACTTGGTATTTAGCTTAATCTGAAGATGCTTTAAAATTTATTTTTTCTTTTTATTTACTTTAACTGTTACCCAAAAACATAAAAATTGAATATAACTATATTATGTTTTGTATGTCATTTTAATTACATTTAATATGGTCTAATACCAAAAAAGGGAAAAATCCAAAATGTGTAAGCAATATTTATTCAAGAAAGAGTTATATTTAGAAATCACCTACTTATGTGTGATTATATGTGTTACTGGTTTTTAATTACTTCTTTTGAAATGGCTAGAGGCATGTTTTCCTTGACTATTCTGGAATCAATAATAAATGAAGATGCAAGTAAAATGTCATGTGTTATAATTTTTTTAATGTTCACAATATGGTCAGATTGGGAAATTTTTCTCATAACTAAGTTTGATGTCACCTATTTTCATTTGAGGTTTTAAATATTTTATTAAATATTATTCATCTTCATTCAGCTCATTACCATTTACTCAGGATTCATTTCAGATTCCTATAAAACCGGTCATAGAAAATACAGGAATGGAAAATGTTTTTCTGCATATGAACATGTAACTTAATGTCTTAGTATTCCAAGATCACTCTGAGTTCAATTAAATTACTGTTAAAATATTGTCTATTGAGTTATATAGATAAAATTAAAGTGGAAAATGTACACAGTGTAGTCTCAAGATAAGAACTGGCAAGAGACAAGGTTAAAGCACTGAGAAAAATAGAAGACAGGTAAGCAAGTATGTATTGCTATGAAATCCAGAGGATGGGAAGGAATAACATAAAAAACCAAAATATTTTAAAAGGATAAGATGAAAATCATGCACACAAATATGATACAGTAGTCCTACTATTCAAAGGAAATAAAACAGTATGTCATTTATTGCAAGACTTGTCATGAAAGCAACGATATGGAATAAACTTTTGTGTCCATCAGCAGATGAACAGATGAAGAACATGTGATATAGATAGCCAATGAAGTACTATTTGCCTTGAAAAAGAAGGGGAGCCCTGTCATTTGAAATAACATGGAGGAACCTGCAGGACTTAAATGTTAAGTGAAATAATCCAGGCACACAAAGATAAATACTGCATAATCTCTCTTTCATCTGGAATCTAAAAAAAAAAAATGGATTTCAGAGAAATGGAGAACAGAACGGTGATTACCGGTGGCTCTGAGCTGCTTCAGGGATATGTTGGTCAAAGCATACAAAAGTTCAGTTGGATAGGAAGGAAAAGTTCAAGAGCTCTATTGCACAGCATGGTAACTATAGTTAATAATAATATAGCATGTATGTGAAAATGCTGAGAACAGATTTTAAGTCTTCTGAAACAAAAATAATGACCATTTGCAGTAATACATGTTTTAATATACTTGATTCAGTCATTCTATAATGTGTGTGTATGTATGTGTGTCAGGTGGGGGAGAGAGAGAGGGAGAAAGTGGTGAATATATGTATACATAATATAGAAATATATATATTTCTAAACAATGTACATGGTAAATATGTATAATTTAATGTCAATTGAAAAATAAAACAGGAAAATGGCATCAAAAACAAGAGAGTCCTTTTTATACAATTTCAAAAAAATAAAACATTACCAACCACTATTCCTCCTTTCAGTATGTCCAATTTTAAGATATCTTTGAATTTAATTATCTCCAGATATTGGAATCTGCCGTGCCCAGCATAGCTGTTAATTTAGAAACCGGCAAGGGGTGATGGGGGATTGAAAAAAGACAAACACATAGAGAAAGCTGGGACCAGGTGGGACACTGTCTTCTGATGGAGGAACAATGACCCAGATCTAGCTCAGCACATTTATTATAATAGGTCTTATCATCAAAAAATTATTCGTGAGAAAGTTGCAGTAAAGCAGACAGACTTGAAGGTTGTAGTGAAACTTGGGAGACACGGAGGCTATCTTGTTATGCCCAGAATTCTCTATCCCCTGGAGTAGGTGCCTAAGCTCAAGGTCCAGACTGATATAGCTCTTTGCCTTAGCACAGAGTCTCCCCAGGCCAGTGTCACAGCAGCAACTGGGACATCTTGACCTACACCTTTGCACAGGAAGTTCCCAGCCCAAATGAAGCCATGAGGCAGTCAGAGTCCTTGATTCAATTCACCATTCTCCACAGGAACCAGTATACAATTATCTTTATATCATTCCCACCTGAGCTGAGTATTCTGCCTCTTAACCAGGCAGAAATCATGAACAGAGTATTCAATTTGAAACAAAAAGTAAAACTGTGTGTCTCACACTGAGTAGCTGTTGTGACTTTGAAGACATTATTTAACATCCTGAAGTCTGAAGCTACATCTGTAACATGGTAATCACAAAATCTGTACTGTTTTTTCCTACTTAACTTCTCTAGCTTATTTATCAGAAAGTTACTTTAAAATCAATAGTAACACATAATAGAACAGAAATATAGGATATTATGGTGATACTTCAGTTATTGAGAGAGTGATGAAGAAATAAATGAATGACTAAATAAATGAACCAACAAAAATAATGTCTTCTTAATTTCTCGTAAAATACATTGTTATCAGAGGCAACTCTGCTCCTTATGATAGAATGACGATGCTCTTTTCACATTGTCTCATTTGACTACTCCTCACTTTCTTCCTTCTAACACAGGAGAGCCTGGAGGTCCAGATGCCGGCTCTCTTAGCAAAAAGGAGGTATTCCTAGATCTTCCACCATGGTTCCCTTGTTGGAAGCTCAGATAAATTTCCATCCCCCATTGATATTCAAAGCCTTCAACTTATAAAATATGTAGTCTCAAATCTGCTTACTAGGTTGGATTACAAACTCAGCAGTTTAGTTAATTTCTCCTGGCGTATTTTGTGCTTAGTTTTGTTCTGTTGTGTGTGTGTGTGTTGTTTTTTTTTTTCATTTATGTCATGAAGATAATAATAGTTGCCTGTTAGAGTTTTCTGAGGCTTAATTTTAGATCACATAGGATGACTGTTCTGGCAAACAATAAGAAGCTCAACAGATAGCAGTTACCCTCAGGACTTAGCTAGGACAGAATACTACTCTTCTGGCCTTTGCATCTACTCCCAGGACCAACCCTAGAAGGCTGAGCTCAATCTCTGCCATGCCAAAACCAATGTGGTCACATTAGTTTCTTATGAGCAAATTTATCAAACAGTATCATGATTATGCTTCTATAGTCATCTTCCCTCTTCTCCTAAAGCCATTACTCTGATATGCTGCAATTCAGAGTCTTAAATTCTGTCTTTTCAAAAGTCAGGGGCAGTAGCACACACCCAAAATCCCAGCCACTGGGAAGGCTGAGACAGGAGAATCACAAGTTCAAAGCATGTTTCGGAAACTTAGGGAGCCCTCAGCAGCTTAGTGTCTCAAAATTAAAAAATAAAAAAATGGGCTGGGATTGTGGATTCAGTGGTTAGGCACCCCTGGATTTAATAACTGGTATAAAAAAATCTTTTCATAAGCTTAAGTCTTTACTTATTGAGAGAAGATTAACTCAACATATTATTGACCAACCCTTATAATAGATTCAAAATTCATTGATTTCTTACTGCCAGTGAACATTACCTCAAAATCCATCTTTAATCATTGTGTGGATATTTACATTCTCATTATGTGTTCTAGTTTTTTTGTGTGTGATGCTTATGTAGGCTGTATAGATTCAGAGTTTTCCTGCATAATTAAAACTTGACATTTTTGGTTAAGAAACAAATGACAATTTTTTAACGTCTGCTAATTTTATGAATTTATTATTAATATTGGAAAAGTGGCATTCTTGAAGAATATTTCCTTTACATGCATATTCTAACCAGGAGCAGGAGCAGGTTCTCTCTCTTTGTCTCTGTACTGGAAAGGTGATAAAAACAAGAAATAATGCAGGTTGGTAGGAAGATGACAGCTAGATCCACACCAGGGAGAATTCTCCAAGGAGTTAGGATGTGGTATTAATCAAAGAAATAAAAAACAGCCTCTCCAGAGTTCTGAATTTTTCATCAACAATAGTTGATGAAAAATTAGGGAAATGAGGCATACACACCAAAATTTGAACTCATTCACATTATTCAAGACATGAGAGAATAAAGGAGAAAGAAAAAGGTTATTGAGTCATTACAGCATAGTTTACAGCAAATTATCTTCCTATTACTTTCTTTTTAAAAGATGTACCCACCTTTCTTTATGTAATATTAGAGCTGGGCATTTTTGACTTGTTTTGAAAAAAAAAAACTTTTTCTTGAAACTTCAAAATTTAAGTATGGTGACTAAAATAATTAGTCATCTTAAAAGATTATTTCCTGTAGGAATTATAAAAACTCACAAAGGAGAATAGCATGAAAAATTCCTCAGTATTTAAGTTTTGTTCCTTAACCCATCACTTCTATTACCTGGGATCATGTTACAAATGCAGAGTCTCAGACCCTGCCTTTGTAGATACATTAAAGTTTACAAAGAACTGATGTAACAGATTAAATAAATGATTAAGAATACCTATTTTCAAATTCACTAGTTGTGTGGTCTTGCATAAGTTACATAACTTCTCTGAACATATTTCTATTGCTGAATTTCAATGTTCCCCTT